GAGGGGGCGCGGACGGGGAGGAGACGGGGGTGGGGCGGGGGCGGGGCCCCAGCGCTCGCTGGACCTGTCCGGCTGCATTTTCTCCCGAGGGCGGAGACCCTGCCAAAGTTCAGGGCTGTCCTCTCCCCACCGAGTTATGCGTCCTCCCAGAGTCTGTCCCGGGGCAGAAAGGAACCCTTGACTCACAGGACGTTTAGGCTCTCTTTGCCGCCTGCGATGTAAGGGTCCACCTGCCCGTTCATGGTGCCCTGACTGCCCCAGAAGGCTCTGCCACACCCCCAAGGATCAGTGGGACCTTCATCCCATGCCACTCATTCAATGTTTATTGAGTGCCTACCATGTGTCCCTCCCAGCAACCAACACAATCGACTGCCCTCTGTCCTCATAGGGTTTGCATTCTAGTTGGGGACACAGATGGCAAGTGTTAGTAATACTGTAAAAGAGGAGATACCTATGAGAGCAGTAAAAGGCCATCCAGAGGGAAGTGATGACTAAGCTAAGACCTGAAATGCAAGTAGGAGCAACTCAGGCATAGTGTTCATCGCAACTGCTCCCATTTAGTATTCAGTGATTTCTGTGGGGCTGGGCTGGCAAGCACGGTACAGGTATTACCTCATTTAATCCTCACAACCAGCATTTGAGATAGGCACTATTATTATCTTGTATCCCCATTTTGCAGGTGGGGACATTGACTCACCAAGAGATTGGGTAGTAGTAACACAATCTCAGGGGCCCCACTGGCCGCTAAGTGGCAAAGCTAGAACAGACTCCACAGTCTGACCTAGTGCCTTGCTTGTCCACATGGCTGCAGCCCTAGCAGAGGAAGGAGGAGTTCCAGACCAAAAGAACTGTCATGTGTAAGGATAGACATAAGGCAAAAGAGAAACTATAGTATACTTTTGAGGAACTGAAAATATCGCAGTGTAATGGGCTAATGATAAAGAAGCAGTAGAAGGGTGTAAAGGCAGATTTTGAAGAACTTGGTGTATTTTTTTCTTCAGAAGACAATCTCTCTCCACACATCCTTCAAAGTCCAAATCAGACACTACCTCCCCACCAAACTCTCCAGGATCCTCCTGCTCTGCACAACCACACTAGTGAACCTAGCAGCTCTTTAGGACTGTATATTCTGTTAGAGTCATCAATGTGTGTGTGTGTGTGTGTGTGTGTGTGTGTGTGTGTGTGTGTGTCCCCTTCCCCAATTGTGAGCTTCTAGACCATTCTGAACCCTCAGTGTGGCACCAATATGAAAGACGCTCAAGAAATATTGCTAAACAGAATTCCAAATAATCCTGTGAAACTTGCTCCTTCTGTAGATGAGGAAACTGAGGCCATAGTATAAAAGTGACTTTCCCAAAGTCACACAGCTTATACTTTACCATCTGTCATCATCACTGCCGCTATGCCTGCGTTCTACGTGCTTTATATGTATTTTATCATTAAATTCTTGCTATTACTCAAAAAGGTGGATACTGCTATCATCCCCATTTGCAAATGAGGAAACTGAGGCCCAGGAACATTAAATCAATTGATGAATTGCTGGGACTAGACCTCTAGTCTAACTCCAGGTCTACTGCTTTTTACTGCACTCCCCACTGCATCCTTCCATGCACTTACTTCCATGCACTTCTAAAAAGAGGTCATTCATGAGAAGTGTCTATCTATTTCCACACAGCCCCTACTCTTGTGAGAGTTTTGTAAGACTAAAATCTCGGTCTGCTCTCAGTAAAAGCAGTCAAAAAGTGGTTGTTGAAAGCCAACATGGTTTAGAAGTATCTGCATAGTTACTTCAATAGAAAAAGGCTAATAGTTATTATTGTTTTGTTACATTGCCATGAGGAGAAAGGAAATGAGCTGCTGTTCAGAGTCAACATAACTTGGCAGCACCAACGTTTATTTATATTATGGCAACCACCCAAGCGACCACCCAAGTCGGAGTCAGCATTTGAGAGGAAGTGTGGCCCATGGATTTATTTTTCTTCCATCTACCCAAGTTTTTTCAAACTGTTAATATAATACGTTTCACACTGTATTATGGTTCAATAAAGCAAAAGACTGCACATCTGCTTTGTGAGCTCTTTGTAAAAACTGGATCTTGTTTGCATCTCTGCCTGCCCAGTACCCAGAACAGTAATTGGCATGGTGTAAGTGCACAGTATATGTTGAATTAATGAAAAAATGATGTTACAGAGCAATATTTCAACTCATTCATAGTCAAGCTAAACAGAAACCAAGATCCATCTCAAACCAGCTTCTAAGGTAGGCAAAGGTCTCCAAGCTGGCCAGATCCCCACGATGGTCCCAGCCAGGAAAGCTACCCCTGACTGATTGTCACTAAGGGCTGTAAGTGGTGGGATTGGGTAGATGCCAGCCTTTGGCTTATGTCACCGCCCCTCTCTGCCAGACCAACACATAAAGAACTGCAAGAGATAGGAGAATGGGGAGCCCCCAGAAAATGGGAAAAGAAGAATAGAAAGAAAAATGGAAAGACAAGTAGGGATTGAGAAATCAATGGAAAGATGGATCTAGAAGGGAAAGGAAAAAAGTAAAAACTAAAGGCATAGTCCCACGTTTCTATGAACCGTTCTGGGAGAAGAAGATAAAAAGAAATAATCAATTCTTTTTGAAAGGCTGAGCATTTCTGCCCCAGCCAGAAATCCTCCGTGGTCTACAGAACTGAGAGTCAGAGGGGGCAAACGTGAGAGGAACAGGGACAGGGTGCTGGTGTGGAAGGACACCCTGTTCTCTTTCGACATTGTTCCAGTCTACCCCAGGCCCTCCCTGAGCGTCGGTGACAGAGGATTGCCACTGTTCAGGCTGGAGGGCACAGGAGCTATGACAGAACTGTCTTAGCTGCCATCCCTTCCTATCCACAGTACTAGCCACAGATTTCTAAGAGGTGTCCTAAATTTCTCAGCTGTAGCACAGGCTTGTAGAAAATTCTAGATGTCTGTATAAACACGCTTTATTTTCTTGAAATTAATTACTAAATTGCACCTACTTCTCCCATCCCACTCATGGAATTCTCTCTCATATCCCCCCAGCCTCTCCTTCCGGAATTGTCCCTGTTGCCCTCTGCTGAACTCTGTCCAAACTCTCCATCAGCATCTTTAGCTAAAGAGCTTGTCAAGGAACCCTTTATCCAGCAAAGTCCTGAGTGGCAGACTATCGTTATTTCTTAGCAGAAACAATCAAGAATTGAATCATTGGATAAGGACACAGAGTAGGTGAGCCCAAGCAATGCCAGGCTTCCTGATATTTCATGCCGTCTTCACTCTTACACCTCTGAGGCTTTCCTTTTTTCCCTCTTTCATTCAGGTGTCACATCATCCCGAAGTCCTGGCATGTTCTCCTATTCTGAATGCCAGAGACCAAACTTTCAGAATGAAAAAAGGACATGTTTCCAACCCAAGGACAAGGGTATTGAATTACAAAGTTCCTCTGGATAAAGCAGAACAAGAAACACCCCATATTCATAGGGCGTCAGAGAAGCAGAGAACAGAACCTAGAGATAAGGAAAACAGACTGAGAGGAATCGTACACCCTGGCCAAGTCACCCAGATACACAGCATTTATAAACATGTCTAGACATGGGGGCTGGAACCGGCTGCTGGCCCACACTGGGGAATACAAGCCCATTGAAAATAACCCTGTCTCACCAGTTAACCCATGAACAAATGAAACACTGACAGGGTAATAATAAGCCAATACATTGAATAAATATGTACCAAGCCCCTACTATGTGCCAGGCACCAGGGACACAGAGATGAATTAGACAGCTAACACAATCAATTTGGGAAGAAAACTATGTACTTAGCAAAATGATAGCTCACACTTATTCAGCCCTTACTTTGTACAAAAGGCTGAAGATACACCAACTCATTTAATCTTCCCAACAACTCAGTGAGGCAGGCACCATTATGTCTCCTATTTTGCAGATGAGAAAGACACATCACAAGGAAGTGAAGTGACTTGCCTATGGTATCAATGCTAGCAAGTGGTGGAGATAAGTATCAGCCCCAGGTAAGATAGCTCCAGAGTCTGTGGACTTGACAGTTCACCTCCTATTCTAGGATAGGAGCAGACTTGAGATATGTCCAAGGCACTGCAGTGGGCAAAGGAGGAGAACATCCAAGTTCCTGCTGCAGCAGAGAACAGGAAAGACTTCCCAGGAAAGGCAGCATGGGAGCTGGCCTTAAATAATGAGAAGAAAAGGTCAGAGTATTTGGGGCTGAGGGCTCAGAGGAAACAGTGAGGTCAGAGGGTCTGGGAAACATGTGTTAGCCAATTAACCGGAGCTTCAGGGCAGGACGGAATGGCCAGAGACAAAGTGGGGTGGGGTTAGATTGCAAAGGGATTTGAATCAAGTTGAGAATCGATCTGCAGGTGATGGGGAACTATTGAAGATTTGCAAGCAGGGCAATGACATGATCAGCTAGCAGAGAGGAAAGTACAAATGGAAGGCGGAGACTACAGTTGACTCTTGAACGATGGGGTCTTGCCAACCCCACCCACCCACAAACACAGTTGACAATCTACATATAACTTTTGATTCCCTAAAAATTTAACTACTGGAAGCCTTACTGATAACATAAGCCTTACTGATAACATAACATAACATAAACAGTCAACTGACTCATATTTTATATGTTATATGTATTATATACTATATTCTCATAATAAAAGTAAGCTAGAGAAAAGAAAATGTTATTAAGAAAATCTTAAGGGGAAAAAAAACGCTTATAGTTTTTATTGAAAAAATCTGTGTGTAAGTGGACCTGAACAGTTCGAACCCATGTTGTTTTAAGGGTTAACTGTACTTTGGCAGCTACTGAAATAGTATTGATGCGAGATAGAGTCTCTAAACTAGAGCAGTCAATGGTGGTGGAAA